AGCAATAATAGCAAAGATAGTTTTGCCTGTCTTCTTACATATTCGTCCTGTTGGAGCACTAGATTAGAGTTGGTGTAGCTCCAAAGTCTTGGGACTGGGTTTTTGTGTGAAACCATTTTCGCGTAGAAGTGCTTTGTCGCCACCGGGTGGACATCCTTATCTTTGCAACGCCCATGTTGCAAAGTTGTAGTTCTTAAGCCGGATTGCATTTAAGAATCACCTAAATTTGAACCCCAATACATAGACCACCCGGGACTCCCTGGCCTATATGATAGGAGCCAGCTTCAGCATCACTATTTAAAAAATCTGCAGCTAGGGGCCTCCCTGGTGGCGCAAGGGGTTAAGACGCAACCTCTGAAGCTCACCACGGCCACTACAGCGCAAGTTCGTTCCCCAGCCAGGGAGGTGACCCACATGGCACAGCAGACCTCTCCTGGCTTGCCTGCTGCTCCCCTCAGCAGTGTGTTTCAGTCGATCTGCCTGTTATGTTCCCCGCTCTGTCTCTGGTGAATCCTCTCACCCCCCCAAAAAAACTCTGTCCTGTACCCCAGTTCTTGTATGCATAAATACATAAATCTTAAAAAATAAATAAATAAATAAATAAAAAATTCTGCAGCTAATACTAATGTACCATGAGGGTAAAGAAACAATGAGTTAGAAGAAACTCTAAATCCTTGATGAATATTAGATAATCATTCCACTTTTAAAATTGCCCTTAAAGGTGGGACCTCCCTGGTGGCACAAGGGATTAAGTCTCAGTACTATTAGGCTGTGGGCAGCCACTGCAGCACGACAGCCGCCAGGGAGCTGACCCACATGGCACAGCAGACCTCTTCTGTCTTACCCGCTCTATCCCCCATCCCCATACCTCTGGCCTACACCCTAGTTCTTTTTTGCTTAAGATTTATTTATTTATGCATACAAGAACTGGGGTACAAGCCAGAGGGGGTGGTGGTGGTTAGCGGATTCACCAGAGACAGAGTGGGGAACAGAACAGTTAGATTGACTGAAATACACTGCTGAGGGGAGCAGCAGGAGAGTCAGGAGAGGTCTGCTGCACCATGTGGGTAGCTGCTGGCCAGGGTTCTAACTCGTGCAGCAGTGGCTGTGGACAGCTTCACATGTTGCATCTTAACCCCTTGCACCACCAGGGAGGCCCCCACCCCAGTTCTTGTATGCATAAATAAATCCTTAAAAAAAATTGCCCTAAAGGAGAAAGAGCAATCTATGCACATAAATTCTGTAATCGTCCAAAGGTCTTTTTCCATCTTCCCAGCGGGGAATTCATCAAGGAGTTGTAAGAACATAAGAAATCTATATCTAAATTACTTCTTCTGTGAGTCTTCCTGCTATAATGGGGCAGAAAGTGCTGAACACATCTTTTAACTATTCATTTCTATGAAGCAGTTCTACTCTTTGGTCCTTTGGTCCTTTCGTAAACTGCCTCCTCCCTTCCCATAAATAATCTATCTGAACTGTTGGAAGCTGGCCTGGGATACCTTGTTTTCCTTCTCCAGTGAGGCCTTCCTGGTTTCCTACTTCAGGGGCAAGGGTGTTAACAGTTCCTGGATGAGCAGAATTGCATTTGATTTTGCAGGGATCATTGCTGCCTGGGGCTCTGGCTCTGTGACCTTTACCAGAATGAATGGAGACACCTGGACGGTGCTCAGTGGCCTTGGACAGGGGTGTGATGCTGGAAAACTTTGAGAATCTGGTGTCCATGGGTAAGTATATCTTTCTCTTTGATCTGTTAGGCAACTTTGTGTTTTTACAGGGTAAATGATTTGGGCAATATTTAAAAATGTAAATGAGTTGTTTTGTTGTTTAACATTTACTTAGAGGCTGGAATGTATGTTCCTTTTACCCCTCCAAAAGGTCAGGGACATCCACAGTGTAAGACGGACATCTTTGTTTGCAGGCTGGCCCAGTTCTCTAAACTTTCCATGTCATAATTCATCTGCCACCTACAAGAGGAGCTTGCCATCCTCAAGGAGGCCTAGTTTTCTACTGACACTCCCTTCCACATTTCTTTTTTTTTTTTTAAGATTTATTTATTTATGCATACAAGAGCTGGGGTGTAGGAAAGAGGTGTAGGGGAGTGAAAGGAGTCACCAGAGACAGAGTGGGGAGCAGAACAGGTGGATCTACTGAGATACACTGCTGAGGGGAGCAGCAGGCAAGACAGGAAAGGCCTGCTGCACCATGTGGGTCAGCTCCGTGGCTGGGAATTGATCTTGTGCTGCAGTGGCTGCTGATTGCTTCACAGTGCTGAGACTTAACCCCTAGTGCCACCAGGGAGGCCCCTCCCTCCCACATTTCTTTATATTCTTTAACTATGTGGTTTGGGCCTCCTTGATACCACATTCTAGAACTCCCTGACATAGCCACAATCCTTATAGATACCTAAATTGGGGTTGTGGTCTACAATGGATCCTGTGTTTCATAACCACAGGCACATTCCGTTGTCTATGAGCAGGGCTTCTCTCCTCCAAACCCCAATTAATCACCCAGCTGGAGCAAGGGGAAGAGCCATGGATAGAGGTGCCGAGTTCCATCACGTGCTCGTACAGGTGAGTAGGCCATTTAATAATATCTAAAACTATATTAACAGCAACTGGAACAGAAGTTTTGAGTTGAGGGTGAAAGATATGTAGATCACCTCTGCATATTTTGCAAGACCACTGATTAGTTATATCGCCTGTCAAATCTTCTGCCACAGGCAGATAACCTTTTATTAGTTTAAAGGAGATAATGTAAAATGCTTAACTGTATGACAGATGCATAGTAAACACAAGATAAATGTTAGCTGGTGCTGTTAGTGATAATCATGTGTGTGCGTATGTGTGTGTAACAAATGTCTGTGTGCATGAATGAGGTCTCTAAATAGCTTGAAAGCTCAAAAGAACATGCTCTACCATCACCTACAAATAAATTCAAGTGAAATTATATATATATATATGTGTGTGTGCATATGTATGTATGTATGTGTATATATGTTATGTTCACAACACCATGAACAAATGAGGTTTATCCCATGAATTTAAGACTGGTTCAGTCTTTGGGAATTAGTCAAAGTAATCTATATTAAAGAAGATTAAATCCTAAAAAAAAATGAATAATGATACCAATTGATGCAGAAAAAAGTATTCATCATAATGTGACATCCATTCATAATAAAAGCTTTCAGCAACTAGGAAGAGATCTGCCTGTGGACATCCTTATCTGAACTGCCTCAAATCTCATAAAGGACAACTGCAAAAACAAAACCACAAAAAAGCAAACTAGAGCTAAGAGCACACTTAATAGTGAAAGAATTAATGCTCTCTTTTTCAGATCAAAATAAGGTAAGTTGTCTGCAGACAACCTGTTTTACTGGAGCCCTTGTAACTTATCCAGCATAGGTGGACTCAGATTGTTTCCATGGTTGGTTGTTGCTTTTCCTCAGAGCAAGTATTCCAAGGGAATCAGGAAGAAAAATTTAAAAAATTTTGGAACTTAAAGAGCTGAAGTCATCACTATGTTGTGTTCTACTGTAGATTTTAAGTATTGAAATCAGTGGATTTTTGACAGTCACATAGACCCACACATTCAACACCTGAAGTAAGGAAGGTATAGTATATTGTCCCACTTTATAAAGTTGCCTGTGCCCCCTTTAAAGTCAATTTTAATTGCAGGTCTACCTTACCTTCCTTGAGTGCTAACTATTATTATAGTAGTTTCATTTTTATTTTCTATTATGGCATATTATAATGTTTTGTGAAGTCACATAAATAAAATACTTTATTTGTGCATGTACTTGAATTCTTTCATTCAACAGGCGTTGAGACTCATCCATCTTATTTCATAGATAACTTGTTACTTTTTATTGATGAATCACATTTCATTATATGATATTACTACAATTTATCACCTGCTATTTGTCATTTGGATTATTGTACATTTATGACTATTAAAAATGAGGATACAAACATTCTTGTACACATCTTCAAATCCTGTCAGGGTATCTTTGGAGGACTTCTTGTATTACTATTCAAACCTATAGTTTCGAAAGCTTTTCAGTGTCCAAAGACTTTGATATAATTTTCCTAACACTTGATATATAATTTGCTTCTCTAGATTATATTTTCTGGATTAGGTCGCTTACAGTATCTTATCAAGAAAACCACATGCTACATCATCATCGTTTTAGTTACATAAATGGTCAACATGAAAATTTATGGCCAAGGCTTAAAAATGCAAATTTCTCTTCAAGGCCAACTTCTGTTCTCCAGTATTTTTCAAATATCACCCACGAGTGATTAAAAAATTTAGTGTGCTTTCATCTTTCTTCATGTGTTTATGTGGGAAGAAGTATTGTTGAAGGACTGTGACTTCATTATTTAATACAATTCAGATCCACTAATAAAGACACACTCTTTCTGGGTGACACCAACCCCAAGATATTGCTACTATTGCCAAAAATGGAACGAAGGTCATTGTGTTTTTCCAGGAAGTAGGTGTTAAGCAGAGGCCATGGTAATAAGCTTAGGGTTCTCAAAAAATTGCATAGGGGGTGTCTGCTTTTTGGCTATAAGCAAATTTTCTCTAAGGAGTAGAAGACTGAAGAAAAATCTCAATGTATAAACTTCAAAATTTGATGGATTGGAATCTTCTTTTGAAAGGAAAGATCAGGACTTTGCTCTGGACATGAGTGATTTGTTAGACTAAGTTATTGGGGGTATCATCCAGGAAAGACAATGTTCAATAAGAGGATTATTAAAATAGTTATTCATGCCATGCAATTTTCCCGGTGGTCTTGAATGCAAAAACAGATTAATTTGAATATGTAGGGAAGAAATGAACCTTGGAATGGATAAAGAACTGATGTTTTTCAAAAGGCTAATAAAGTCAACTACAAATTTAAAAACGATCTGACGAGAAAACAATCTCCAAGTATCACTGGATTAATGGAGGCCCCTTGGGAAATTAGTTCAAAATAAACAGAAATTATGAGATATACATGATAATGATAATAAACAAGACATTTATTTTTCATATTCATTTGGGGGAAAGGAAAGTCAGTGTTTGTCCTGTCCAATGCTGGTCTTCCTGAAAGGCTCCATGCATTCCATAGTTAAAGAAATAGCTTGATCTCAGAGGACAATGTTGTACTCTTAATTCACAGAACTTCCTTTGAAGAGAGTGGTCATAGGGTGAGTCTTTGCGAGCAGCTTCGCTGGTGGACAGCCAGGCTCCCTCTTTGGGTGAAGCTCTTTCCACACTGGCCACACAGATAGGGGGTCTCCCCTGTGTGGATTTTGCCATGCAGGATACAATTCCCCCTGGTGTGGAAACTCTTCCTGCACTGTGCACAGGCATAGGGCTTCAGGCCTGTGTGGACTCTGATGTGAACAATTAAGCTTCCCTTCTGACTGAAGGCTTTTCCACACTGATCACATCTATAGGGCTTCTCACCACTGTGAACTCTTCTATGAACTGCAAGGTTACTTTGATTCCTGAAACTTCTCTGACAAATAGCACATTCATAAGGTTTCTGTCCAGTGTGGAGTCTTTCGTGAACTGCCAGACTACCTCTTTGACTAAAGCTTTTCCCACACTCCTTGCACTGATAGGGCTTCTCTCCTGTGTGTATTCGCTGATGTGTAACAAGATTGCCTTTGGCCCTGAAGCTTTTTCCACAATGAGTACACTCAAAGGGCTTTTGACCAGTGTGGATTCTCTCATGTAATGTTAGGCTACCCTTTTGCCTGAAGGATTTTCCACACTCCTGGCACTCATAGACCCTCTGTCTCACTCCAGGTGACTCTTCCTGTAGAGTCTTAGAATCTGGGGATTTTTGTTCCAGTCTCTCTCTTCTGAAAGAATTCTGGAAATCCCAGCTGGAGGATCCTGTGGCCTCAGAGTGATCATATTTGTGGTGGGCTTCTGTCATCACATCTGGTAAAATGAGAGGGAATTCATGTGAGATGCACCAATATGCTGAGTGAGAAGAACAGGGAAAAAAGAAGTGATGTTTTGAGTGCTTATGCGCCAGACATTATACTATGAATGTTGCATAGGTAATTTATTCCTGAAAATGAGCATATCCTGTGAGGTTGCTATAGATAAGGAAATGAGCACATAGGAAAGGTGTGAAAGGTCATGCAGTCAGTGCAGGGTTGGGATTCAAACACAGGCATGCATTTAAGTTAGCTTCCCAAATAATCCTGTGGGGTGGACATGATTATCCCTACTTTACAGAAATAAACCACACCCTGAGAAATTAAGAGAAATATACAGATCACATGGTGTCTGATGGCACGTTTACTCTGATCCCAAAAAAGGTGTGGATCTAAGCTGTACTGTGTCTAAAACCTTAACATTTTGCAGACACTATATTCAGGAAAAAAATATACAAGTAGGGATAGGGCCTTAAGAGAACAATGCAAGAAGGCCTCCCTGGTGGCACAGGAGTTAAAAGACACAGCGGTATCAAGCTATCTCCAGCAAATGCAGCACGAGTTCAATCTCCGGCCTGCCAGGGAGCAACCCACATGGCGCATCAGACCTCTCCTGTCTCGCCCACTGCTCCCCTTAGCAGTGTATTTTAGTAGATCCTCCTGTTCTGCTCCTTACTCTGGTGAATCCTCTCACCCCCCTGCACCTCTGGTCTATACCCCAGTTCTTGAATGCATAAATAAATACATCTTTAAAAAAATAGAGAAAGGACAATACAAGCAAGGGGTCCTGAAAGTTAAATTTCATGTGCTTCATGAGAAATCCACCTCCACTCCAAACTGCTGTCCTGACAGTGGTAGAGGCGCCACAATGTCAAGAAATATGTACTAGAATCTTTGGGAATTTACATCTGTTAATCTCTAATCACTAACTCTCCATGGCAGAGCTTACTGTCCCATTATACAAAGAGCCTGGAGCTCAAGAAAGTTAAATAACTTGTCTGATAGCACAGACAGAGCCAAGGAAATGAGAAAATCTGATTCAAGGAACTTTTCCCTTTAAACCCATGCTATTGCTGTCTGCCAAACTGTGGTGGAAGTAAAATAAATTTGGTTGGGAAATTACTCTCAAACATTTCCTATGCAGATATTGACACCATTTTACAATATTGCTTTGCATCTGAGCCTCCTATTCCACTTTAAATATGGGTCCAGTCATCACTATCAGCAGTTTTCTTGAAGTCATGCTGGGGAGATTTTTCTCCTTGCTCTCCTGTCTTACCCTTATTCAGTGACTGTGTGGAGAACTGAGCTGTGTGGAGACTACCTTATGACTAGCTCCTTATCGGCAGTTCTCATTGTTTCTACTGTTATTTCTAATTCCAAACTGCAGGCTTTCTCTGTAAGCTCTACCAGAGGAATGTTTCCTCTGCTTCTTCAGTCTGTTAAGGAAGACTGAGAACAAGGACGCTGAATATGGCGTGCTAAGGGCATCCCAGTGATCAACCGACTCACTCACTGAAAAATGCTACATTCTGGGCATATCGTCCATGACAGTCCAGCAGGGTAGCTGTCGGAAACCCAAACATGTCCACTCCTGCTGTATGACCTTAATCAACACCTCTTCATATGATTCTTCCATGGGCTGTTCTTGAGAACCTGAGGAGAAAAAAAAAAACAACACACATACACACATACACACATACATAAAACCAACAAAACAAAACAACCCAGAATAACAAAAACAGGAAAGGGAGGGAGAATGGTAAGTGAGAAGGATAAAGTCCACAGGATCACCAGTTTGGGGCATGTGAGTGAATGCAGGAAGTAGGGATTCCTTGATGTCAGTGACTTGTAATGTGATGGCAAAATGGACCAAAGTGGACCAGGATCCCCACCAATCAGTGCAGGAGGAAGCAGAAGATGGGAAAGCAGACAACACATAGACACACATTTCTTCCTGCTAATCCCAAGGTTATGGTCACTGGTGTTTGTACCTTGGCATGTGATTGGGATCTTCTACTTCTACCCCTACCTAACCACTTGCTTTTTTTTCATATTCCAAGTCTCTAGTGGAATTCAGAATCTGAAAAAACATTTCAGCTTTTATGGTTGGATGTGTGATGGAAATGACTAGCTGTCCTTTCCAGTTCTCCCAAGGGTATATGGATAGAACATAAGATTTTTATGTTACCCTTCAGCAATTCTTAGGAGACTCCAGACTCAGAACCATCACTCTCCTATTGTTCAAACATGAGAATACCAGTTTGAGAAAGTATAAACATTTGTCAATACCATATCCAAGTCTGGCACTCCAACAAGTAACTTACCCAAATTCTCAGAGCCAGACAGGAATCAAGGTAGAGAAAAGGTCCAAATCTCAGGTTTTTTGTATAGTCTATGGCCTATGCCCCTATACTTGACTATTTTCAAGTTCCTTATCACTGAAGGACTGGTGAGAATTTTTATAAAATGGAACAGAATTGAACAGAGCCTGGTCACAATTCATTATTCTTCCAGGTCACAGGATCCCTCTGCTCCAAATTATTTTTTTCAAGTTTTTCTTTTTGAATATTTACTTCTTACTTTGGGACCCTAATTATTGAATTCTTGTATGTTATCTATGCAGTGGTTAAATATATAATCTACGTATTTCCCTAATACGTCCTATCAAAATGGTGGCCTCTTAATGAAAACAGTGAGATGCTACAATTCTTTTTTCTAAACCTAAACACCTGGTCTTCTTAATGACGGCACGGTCTGTGGACTGGAGAGGCATTTTAAACTCTTATTTGGAGAACTCACCACCAATTTGATGTATAAGCCACAAACGAATCCCTTATCATTGTGCCAGGATGCGAAAGGACATTCACTTGGAAGTTCAAGGTGTCACTGCTCAACAAGTACAGATCCACCCGGAGCCAGTGGAAAGTACAGGGCATCGGCTCCTGTCTTGGACTCTGTCCCTGGGGAGTCCAGCAAACAGAGTTTAGTGAGAACAAGTGGATTTAGGACTTAAAGCTCTGCCTTTCCACATGCTGTGAGACCTATAAATAATTCAGTGTGTCTCAGGAATCTTCTTTGATTAATAATGGAAAACTGTCTTATTTTTCTCCTTAGATCACAAGTCTGAAGAATCAATTTCCTAGATTTTAAATTAAGTGATTTATCACAGAAAATACTGATTTCCTATCAGAAAGCTTACTATATACTTTGGAAAAAGCACAAAATTAGGCCATGAACAACTTGGATTTTGCCTTGACTCACCTCCCCTCCTGCCATATAATCTTGGCCAATAACTAAACAGCACTATTCTTCTTCACTTATTAAATAGTTATTATACTGTCAAATCAGCGAGCTTCTAGGAGAACAAAAGAGCAAAGGTGAAGGGTCTCTGCCCACCCATAGGTATAAAGCCTGAAGCAGACAGTCCTCAAAAGGAGAGGCCAAGAGGGGGCAAGTTTTGCTGACTAGGGACCCTCCTGGGGACAGATTAAGAGCATCTACATGGGGCTGACTGTTTTCTCCACACACCTGACTCCAGTGTATCTTTTCTCCATCCCCCCCAGAGGAGTTTGTCTGTCCTCCCACTCGCCCTCCCTACTTTTCTTTCCCCTGTCCACCTTTCCCCTCACCACAGGCCCAGGGCACACCTGTCTGTGGCCTCAGCATCCTGTGTGTCCTGGATGCGGGAGGTCTTCATCAATGGCCTGCCCTGCAGAGCTGCGGCTGGAGAGGCCCCAGCGACTCCTCCCAGCCTGTCCCTTGCCCCCTTTAATGCCCCAGGCCTGCTTCGGCACCCAGCTCTTGGTGCAGATGGACCCTTCCCAACCGCAGACCTCACCCCTCGCGGCTGGCCTCCCTCGAGCCCAGTCCCATCAGGCCTGCTCGGGGCTGCAGCGGCCCCAAGGGTGGCGGTCTGCCAGCACGTCCCCGCCTAGCCCGGGCGCACAGACCCGGCCGGCGGCCTCACTCACCGCAGCGGCGCGCGCCCGCAGACAGACAAAGGCCAGCGCCGAGCCCGCAGCAGCGCCGGCGCGATCGCACTGGACTACAACTCCCAGGAGGCAACGCGCGAGCCCTCCTGCCGGACTCCGGACCTCGGCGGCCCGGGCTTCCTTAAGCATTATGGGAAACGTAGTTCAGCGGCGGGACCGGCCACTCAAGTTCTGCGCTTACAAGCCAACAAGGGGTACCCAAGCCCCCCTCTTGTGGCTTGGACATACAGCCCGGAGAGAGGCGACCAAATGACCAATCAGATTAGTGAGTCTGGAGCTGGAAGTGTGACACCTGAGCCAGGGAAGGGCCTGGTCTGGACAGGTGCTCACTTCTGCTGCTGCTGTCTTCCACAGCTTCTCTACAGCATGTATATATGTCCACTTCAGAAGACAGCATCCTGTCCTGTTTCTGGGGAAGTGAGGACCTTCAGGCATGAGTCCCAGATCTTTCGCTTCCCCTGCTGTGGCCTTATTGGGTCACCTGACCCCTCTGTGGAAGCAGATAGAGTTTTCTTTTTGTCCAACGTCCAGCACTCCAACATGCTTGTCTTCTCAGAGAGCTTGTTCTCTCCTTTATCTGCTCTTGTTTACAAATGTTTTTCCTTTTTAAGAATAAAGATGTTTCTAGGATTACAAGAATAGTACAATAAGTAGCATAAAAATACTGAAAAATAAAAAGGGGGAGATGTGTTACAATTCTATGAAATAGAAAATTGCCATGGGCATACCTGTTTTTTGGATGCATAAGCCTTATGTGCTCATGTTGGTCATATCGGTAAATAAATATTGTCCTTTTCACTAAATGAATATTATCAATTAAAATATAACCATTCTTACATCATTGGATTTGAAATTTAATATTGGGTGTCTTTCTAAAGATTTCTGTTTGTTGGTTTGTTTTTTTTTTTTTTTTTTTTTTAGGAATATGACAATTTTATACAGCTTTGTCCCTTTTTGAGTGATTTCAGCTGCTGCCCATGCCCTCAGGATCCTGATCAATTACAGATTTCAAATTCCCTCCATAAAATGGATCCAGAGACTTCCTAGAGCTCAGAAGGCACCCAGTAAAGTTGGGCCCCCTCCCTTGCCATGGAAGTTTCTTCTGCTGGTATGCCTGTAGATTACAATGGAAACAATTAGGGGAGGGCCCTAGAAACAGATCCCGTGTCCCCATGTGGAAATACACTTCACCTCCTTGAACTGCCCCTTGGCCCAGGTTTACTATGGCTGAACCAGTCTGCTCTGGGACATTTTGTGGTCAGCAGGTCTGGCCAGAATTCCCAGAGTAGCTTGCTGGGCCCAAGTCAGAGTCTGGCATGCAGTGATTTCCAAGAATTAAGAATGATGCTATCTAGAATGGCTACTAGCAAATGGCTTGTAAAGATAAGACACGTTAGCGGTAGCAGACGCCTGGGCAGGCTCAGAGCAAGCCCTGACAGTCCAGTGCTCCCTGAGGACAGTGGCCTTTGCCGGCCTCTGCCGGTGAAGCTTCCAGCAGGGGGCAGTGTGGACACGCTTAAGAATCTCTTCCTGACTGTCAGGGTTTTACATTGTAAAGTTGTTGAACATTGTGGAGGAGCTTAATCTTTGTTTATAGTCTGAAGTTCATTGACTTTCACTATAAACGGAGTCTTTCCAACCCGAAGGAATCCTTTCATAAAGCAGCAGCAGTGATTACCATCAAGTGAGTTCGTGGAACTCATATAGCCCTGCGCCTCGGACTTCTGGTGTGCTGGTGTGAGGGCCAGACCTCCAGTGAGGTGGGATCTGTGGGGAGGGGCACAGGGCTGTGTGTGTGGAACTCTCCTGGTGCAGCCCCTGACTGGGGACCCTCAGAACACTACTTGCACAGACATGTAGACTTCGTTGTGGCCCAAAGCTCCCAGTTAGATTTGGGTGTGAAAGAAATGTAATTTCTTTATTTTCCGTAATTCTAGTCTAAATTCCTTTATGCCTTATAGAGAGAAACCAACCATCTCCTGGTTAATTGCTGACTTAGTTACTGCTCAGCCATTTTCAGTTTAAAACTTGCTGGTTTTAATTGGGGAGCCTGGGACTGACCAGCCACTCGTGTTGTACGGTGGGGGCAGCTAGCTGGCCAAGGTTTCATCTTGCTCTCTTACCCTATGCTGATCCTTGCTTACTTTTGGTGTATTTTTCATATCCTTAAGGATTAAGGTGGTCAGGCCTCTCTGAAAGGCTTGCTGCTGTGTCTTCCTAGATGTCCTGTACTCTCAGTTCTAATTCAGACCCAGGCATCAAGAGGAGTCCACTCTATGTTAGTCCACTGTATGTCCATCCCTAACCCCTACACTGGGTCCAAGGAGAGAAGGGGAGAAAGTATGGCTTTGGTGCTTGGTCTAAGCCTCATGCTTTCTCTCCCAACGTTTCCTTGGAGGATATATGTGCACACACCCAGACATAGTCCCCCAGACACACATCGACCCACATATCAATAGATATGCTCACAGACACACAGATACACACCCTAGATGGTGTATCTTCTTTGTCTGTATGAAGAAGATACATCCTTATCTCCTCATTGGACACATATTGATGTGTTGTGGAGGACGAAGGGAGTGGTGGTGGATAACACACCTTTGTATCTTTTTCCTTCCTTGTCTTTCTAATCTTTGACCCCACACCTGGATGGTACTTTTTGTGAAGAGAAGCTAAGGAAGCATCTTCTTTGTTTTCTGATCCCACAGTGCTCTCCTTTCCCCAGAGCTTCAGGGAGTCTGTGACTAACTGTGTGGGGGAAGAGGAAGACACTTGCCCAGAAGTGTTATAGGGCAGCCCCGATATTGAACGGGTTGCCTGGCTGTGGATCCTCACCCACGCGCTTACAAGGGACTTATTAATACTCTACTACAGGCACACACAGAAGGTTAATACAAGGTTTATTTACAAGGGAAAAGGAAATAAGGAAATGTACAACTCAGGAAGAAAATAGGGAAATAAAGTCTTAAATGTGTCCTACCCGATCCGCAGATCTGGAAACCCAAAAAGCACTCTCCGAGCTGGCCGGATGCTGTGAGCTGGTTGAGAGTCAAAATGGGGGGACCCCTCCAAAGCCCACGTGTCTGGCTTTATACCAACCTGGCTGCTTAACCCCACCCTCAGGTCCCAGCCACCTTCCCTTCGGTGGGGATGGGATTTGGAGTTCCCAGTATCTTTGGCTTTGGCCTGGGGTGGGGGTGGAGTCCACAAAGCCTGTATGGAATTTGCTTTAGGACATCCTTTCCCCCTAACAGAAGCACTCCAGAGAGTGGAGAGCGCAGGCTGGCATCACTGTCCATAGTGGCACTTCAGCCTCTGTGCCTCATGGGAACTGGCCTGAGTGGAGGAGTTTTCTCTTGAAGGGGATGAACTTGTATTATAAATCATCCTGGGAAGTGATGGATCTTAGGGCAGGACATCAGGCTTGGATCTTAGGGCAGGACATCAGTGTTGGGGTCTAAGCAGAGCCAGTAAATACATCTCTGAATGTCTGAGTTCTTAACAAATAAAGAAATATCCCACACAGATGGCAGAAGGGGCTGAAGCATGGCCTTACTGGTGCTGGTGGGTGGTGACCTCTGGCCTCCAGGAGGATGTCCTGAGTGAGGTATGCAATTAGTCAGGGTCCTCTAGGGCAATATGGGGTCTACCTCTAAGTTATTCTCTGTTCTAATTCCCTGGGCTTATCTTTGGGTCTTCAGGAAACTCTCACTGTTACAATCTGGACTTGGGCAGAGAGGGCTTTGTCCAGGGAACCATGGGCTCTCCTCAGAGTCAGTCCTTCATGCAGCCCAAGGGCCTTGAGCCCTGTGGCCCTGACTCAGGGAAGGGTAGTGAGAGATGGAGCAGCAGGAAAGCAGGTGAGGAGGAGAGGCTGAGAGTGGTGCTCTTGAGCTGGTTGTAGGAAGGGATGGCCGGTGAGCTGCTGGGGTTTCCTGCCGTCCTGATTTAGGTCAGAGTGGATTGCTCATAGGCCTGTGTTTTGCGTGCCAGGGATGTCATGCCAGTTGCCCTTCTGTGCTCTAAGGAGGCAGACTCTACAACATGCCAGACTCAGAGAAACCCCATGCTCCCAGAAAGAAGCTTCAGCGTGAAGTCCAGTTGTGGGGTGTGAAGGAGATGGAGGGAGTTTTCAAAAATTAATCAAGAACCTTGTCAGTTCATGGTGGACTCAAGGTTGGGTGAGCCATAGTACTCAGCCCTTCCCATGCAGTCTTCCATTTCTGGGGTCCTGGGGAGTGCTGCCTCCTCACGCTCCCCTTCCCCAGACCCACCTTGAGCCCACAAAGGACCCATTGTCCCCACACAGGCGTCCTAGTGTTGGCCTGCCCCAGTGCAGCTGTCATAACACTGGGATCCCTTGGCTCTTCTTGGACAGTTTTGTTAGGAGATCTGGGACTGATGTTTACATTTTATGCACACCCCTCACCCTAGGCCTGACACAGGGCCCCCTGGTTCCAGGAGACCTGCACCTTGGGCTTCCCAAGACTTCATTGTGCCCACACCTGTTTTGCTGTGGGAACTCTTGACCTTCATTCTTTCCTTCCTGTGAGTGTTGGAAATTTCCAGAAGACTAGAAGGCAGGGCAAAACAGATCCTCCCTGTTTTTTTATTTCTGCTCCCCTAATAGTGAATGGAGCATGGCCTGGGGCTGAGGGTTTTCATTTTGAATTAGAGATGGTGGACTTATAGTCTTTTCAATTATCTCTTGGTCCCAGTGTCTGACCTTTTCTTTTGACATCTGAGAATTCATTGCTATGTCCTGAAAGCCTGGAGCCATGCTATGGACTATCTTTAAATGTTTTGTGGTATTTCTCTTACACTTCACATGAGTAGAACC